GGTTGTTCCCTCAAGGTGACCTCAACTCTAAAATTTCAAATGAAACCCCTCATATTGTAGTATATCGTTTGAAAGGGCATAAAAAGAAAAAAATTTTTAACGTAAACCAGAGGTTGATACGTTGACCCATTCGGGAGTTATTTAGGGTCAAATTTCAAAAAGTCCTATTTTTTACCCTAAATACCTCTTAAACGGGTCAACATATCAATCTTTGGTTTAGGCCAAAAAATCTATTTTATGCCTTTTTACGATATACTACAATATAGGGGATTCCATTTAAAATTTTTGAGTTAAGCTGGGGCACCCTCTTGGAGGAACAACTCCCCAATCCCCATAAATAAGTAGCTCATCGACATGATCAAATATGCATTTCGCAATTTTTTATAATATTGATGATTATAACTTTTATTAAATATAGGAATGACTTTATAGACACCCTATATTACGGTTTACACATTACATAGTCATAAAATTAAAAAAATATTCTACAAACTTTTATCATCCCTTTTTATAAAATTTAACTATTCATATCAATATTGTATAAAACATTTGTTTAGTAACGGTATTTTCTATGTGCAATATTTAACTAAATTTCTCACGTTATGCAACATATTCAACAATGACAAGCTATTATCATTTAAAAAATTGTTTTTCCTCCACTACATAGTACGTCATTTTACATCGTTGGAAATGAAACCATAATTAATTACCTCTTATATTTTGTTTTGAAAGTTTTTTGGGATGAACAATAGTAATCCTTCAACCATTCCGTTAATTATAAAAGCGACAACAGTCCTACAGCAGAGCACTTATTTTACATGCATTGACTATATAGTCATTAATCAACATTTTTTATATATGTTTAATGTTTATAAAAAAAATAACTTGTCTAACTACGCAACCTGAATGTTAGTTTGACAACAACATCCCGAAAAAGTTAAACTCAATATCTGTTGAATCAATGACGTACCGGAACAGTTGGACTCTATATCTGTTGAAACAATGACATTTTCTTATACATGAATCGATTGATTTTTTCTTACACATTTAATCGTTATATAATAAACATATCTCATCAATTCTTTTAGAACTGATAATATTATAATATATTTAACACACACGCACGCACGAAAAAATTTCATATAAAATAAATAATTAATAGACTAATGAATAAATATATGACTATAGTTTCATATTATATTATTTCATGTGTTTATATTAAATCACATTTCTTTATGCACAAATTAATTTATAGAAACCAGGATTTAATATACAGACGACGCTACGGCTCAAAATCATCTCAGTGTAATTTGATATTATAATAAATAAAATTCACAATTTCTATTATACGACGCCTCAAAGCACCCTTGACATCGCAAAATGGTATAGGACCTTTTTGTTCATCTCGATCCGTTCTGCCTCCTCACAAGCGTTGTCAAGGGTGCCTTGGGGGCACTCAGTATATATAAACCTAAAAATTTATATATACTATGCAATTTTATTTATAGTATTGGGTGTACAACTTAGTTCGGTCCGTTTTCAAAAGATGACTGTAGCAGTAAGTGGTAGTCGAAATAAATAGATCGTAGACGTCATACAATAAGCTTAGGCATTTGTAAACATAACGCCATCAAAATATTAGTCGATTTGTGTCTGCATCATAAAGTTATTCTCGATTGAAAATGCAGCTTACGAGCCAAATTCTCGTCATTCGCGGGAGGTTTTAATTTTCTGCTTCAATATGAAGAAATCTGTGGCTGAGGCTCATCGAATGCTCTCAAATACGTATGGTGAGGCCGCAATTAGTGAAAAAACGTGCCGAGAGTGGTTTCAACGCTTCAAGAACGATGATTTTGACGTCGAAGACCGGCATGACGGTGGAAGAGAGAAGGTTTTCGAAGATGCAGAATTGAAGGCATTACTTGATCAAGACTCGTGTCAAACGCAAGAAGAATTGGCAGGATCATTGGGAGTGACTCAACAAGCCATTTCAACAACGATAGACACGATAAAGTGATTTTGCAGCATGACAATGCTCGACCCCATGTCGCAAAGCCCGTCAAAACATATTGGAAACGTTGAAATGGGAAGTCCTACCCCACCCGCTGTATTCACCAGACTCCAGACATTGCTCCCTCTGATTACCATTTATTTCGATCGATGGCGCACGGCCTGTCTGAGCAGCACTTCACATCATATGAGGATATCAAAAATTGGGTCGATTTGTGGAAGCCTCAAAGGATGAAGCGTTCTTCCGACGCGGTATCCATATACTGCCAGAAAGATGGGAAAAAGTAGTGGCTAACAATAGACAATACTTTGAATAAAACCGTACGTACCGTTCTTTCACAATAAATGCGTTTTTCAAGCAAAAAAACGGACCGAATTAAGTTGTACACCCAATACATTTCTGTATATCCTAATTAATCCTAAATAATCTTAATTTATTAATCATAAATAAAGTACAACCATTTAAAAATATTTTCTGCAAAAGTTGATCGAAAGTATGTATATAATAATAATTGAATCAATTTCTTTGTACAACAGGATATATTATCGCGTCAATTACGATGTCCCGAGTCTGGAAAAAATCTCGAACTATTTAAACTTTGACCCATATATCAGAGTACATATTCTCAACCGTGCTCAAATCATGGATGATGCATTTCACTTTTTGATCAAAGGCCAACTCGATTTGTCCGTATTCCTGAAACTCACGAAATACTTATCGATGGAGAGAAATTATATAGCATGGTATCCGATGTTCAAGGCTTTTGAATATTTGTCGTCTTTCTTCCCATTTGAAGAGAGTTTTTATATCAAGGTAGTTAATAATAAATTTTGTCTGTTATGCATGTTAAATATTAAACCGCAATAAATATATCAATTATTTCTTGATATTTTTAAGAAAGTAAAATATGGAAAGTAAGAACGTCTTTATATACATTCGTAATATTTACTTTGTCAAAGAGCAGAAAATTTAAAAAACAACGTTTCACACGTGTCTATATATAAGATTTATATTTTGCGCATTAAACATTACTTCTACTTTTCTCATGAATTCATTCATTTTTCATATATGTATATATATATATATATATATATATATATATATATATATATAATATAATATAATATCAAAGTAATGAATTGTTATGTATAACTAAATCGATGAAGTTTTATGCAAATATATCACATTAAGTAATATTATAAACATTTCTTGTTACAAATTTAACACTTCAAATAGTTCAAATACAAATACAAACAATAACCTCTAATAGAATTCTGATTATGCTTGATTCATGAAAATAAGAAGATTTATTATTAATACGTATATTCAAATATGTAGAAGAGACCGGGGCAAACTTGACACTAGGCTTTTTGCCAATTTAAATTTATCGTAGAAACTTGCCTTTCTTACTGTAAATGCGTCTATATGTGCCAGTATATTATCAATGGAATTTGGTGACATTCTCAGTTATAGTTGACTTTTTAGCGCGACGTAAGCGTTTTTGATGGTAAAAAGTAATTTTTCTGATCTCTCGAAAATTTCTACTTTTTTATCGAGCTTTACTCTTGCAAACCTATATGTAAGTGATTTTGCATTGAAAAGATGCTATATACAAGTTTGATAATAGTTTTTGCAAAAGTGAAAAACGACGTCCGGGGCAAAATCGATGCTTCGTCGACTCCCAATAACAGACGCTTTCTCTCTCTCTCTCCCTCTCTCTCTCTCTCTCTCTCTCTCTCTCTCTCTCTCTCTCACACACACACGTCCGATCGCGAGTTTACTTGCATTAATTGTTTTTCAGACATGAGTTTAGATGAAGATAATTGAAAGTTCAACAACTTTTGTTTTTATTATTTCATTTATTTCCAATAATTGTCTTACTTTGTTCCGAATTTTTGTACTTTCTAAATACACGATAATAGTCGGAGAGCTGACGACAAATTTAGGGAATGTATTTTAGGCAAGTTAAAATAACAAAAAAATAATATTTTATTAGTTGGTGAATCTAGAATCCTAAGTCAGGCAGAGGGTTTGCGGTTATTTCGCTACTGCGCAACCTATGACATTTGCAAAAAAAGAAATCAAAAAAATATCTTTTAGGCAACTTGAAATTTGTTTAATCTTTAATTTTAGCATCTATTTAACCCAGAAATAAAAATCCCAGACTATTTTTTGGGTTTTAAAGTATAACCTGACCCCCCCGAATATATTTAATAATTATACCTCAAAAATATACTTTAGGCATTCTGAAATTTTTATAGCATGTTTATTAAATAATATTAAAAATACGTGTAAATCACCAGACGAATTAAACGGTTTTTAATAATTCCCTGACGCGAATAAAGATTTAAAATAAATGCGACAAAAAAGTCTTATGCGTAGCCATAAGTGCGAGAAAGATAGTTAAGGACCTCAGATTTATGCATTTAAAAATGCCTGATTATGCGTAAACTATAAAGTAAAAGAAACTTTTACTTAGTTTTTAGTCATTGAAGTCGTAGATAACGGTCGACGCGGAGATAAATAATTTGTTATTTGCAGTTAGGGGCGAGCAACAAAATCGTAAGTTGCATATTCTGGTAGGGAACGGTCCACAGAATATTTAAATAACAAAAAGACCCGAGCAACAAATTCTTTTAGTTAGTTTTTAGCCATCGAGGTCGTAGGTAACGGTCGACGCGGAGATAAATAATTTGTTTATTTGCAGTTAGGGACGAGCAACAAAATCATACGTTGCATATTTTGGTAGGACACGATCTATAGAATATTTAAATAACAAAAAGACCCGGATTAGAGCAAATAGATCCGGACTAGAGCAACAAATTAGCGCGTAAATAGCACTAAAATTTTTAATAAATGCGGATTTTTTTTTGCGCTGGTGGGGGGAGGGGCTAACTTGATAGAGGTAGTTTAATCACAGTTAATCGATATATATTCAAATTTGAATCTAGTGAATTCTGGCCAACACTTCTGTACCTTTATTTTTCTAGTTAAGTTACTATTAGGTATTGCTTGTGTTGTATTTCAAGAGATACTTTTAGTTTATTTTATGTTCTTCATTTCATTAATTAAATTTTATAACATATATAACTCAAGTTAGAAAACTGTTTCATGCATATTTCATACTTAAATTTAATTTTTTTTATTTAATAAACTGCCTCTATAGATGGATTATTGTATCTGTATTTTGATTTCTTATTTCCCTTGACTCTCAGTGTACTCATTAAACTCCATCTCTACTGCTAGACAGTGGTTTGTCCCAAAGCAATAATGGTATTTAAAGTACATATAAGAAAGTACTATATAAGAAACAAGATCATACACACTAAAATTCAGCTTATTTTAGACCGCATAATTTTGCATAATTTCAATAAAATTTCACGCATAATCAAGCATTTTTAAATGCATAAATCTTAGGTCCTTAACTATCTCTCTCGCACTTATGGCTACGCATAAGACTTTTTTGTCGCATTCATTTTAAATCTTTATTCGCGTCAGGGAATTATTAAAAACCGTTTAATTCGTCTGGCGATTTACACGTATTTTTAATATTATTTAATAAACATGCTATAAAAATTTCAGAATGCCTAAAGTATATTTTTGAGGTATAATTATTGAATATATTCGGGGGGGTCAGGTTATACTTTAAAACCCAAAAAATAGTCTGGGATTTTTATTTCTGGGTTAAATAAATGCTAAAATTAAAGATTAAACAAACAAGTTGCCTAAAAGATATTTTTTTGATTTATTTTTTTGCAAATGTCATAGGTTGCGCAGTAGCGAAATAACCGCAAACCCTCTGCCTGACTCAGGATTCTAGATTCACCAATTAATAAAATATTATTTTTTTGTTATTTTAACTTGCCTAAAATACATTCCCTAAATTCGTCGTCAGCTCTTGGACTATAAACAATGTATTTTTGTTTTCAGATAATAAGTTCCAGATCAAATTGTGCATGTTGATCAGGCAAAGTATCGAGTTTGCTCCAGCATTTTTCAATTTGAAAGTTTGTGTTCGCGTCACTTTTCCTTTTCTAGAGGCAAAACTAAGTGACGTACAGCAAAACTTTCTGAAGCAATTTTGTATCTGAAAGAACACTCTTTAAATGTGTACCAATAAATTCGTTGGAAAAGTTTAATTATTTGTTGAAAATTAATTTTGAAAAAATCGTGTCGAGTTTGCCCCGGTCTTCCCTACATACACATCATGTTTTTCTTTATCCAATATAATGAACAACCAATGTAATCTCTTTATGTTTCTTAACGATTCATAGGGCCAAATGATGATAATATTCGATAAATTTTATCAGGAAATGGGACATGAAGAAAAAAGTGATCCCTTCCATTTTAACAGTAGTTTAAAACAAGAGGTCGCAAGATGGGCATATGTTTTCGATTCTTATGAGTGCAGGAAACAGGTTTATTTTAAATAAAGTACACATTTGTTACAGAAAGAGAAGAGGTATTTTTACAATTTTAATTTTTTAATTTTTAATAATGGACGAAGCATTCCTATTTGTGCAATTTATATATTTATGCAATGCTTAATGAATTACTTAATCAAGATGCAAGAGTACAAGCATAATTTTCATTTCTAATTTACATATGTTCTTTCCGACATTATAGTCCTTCGCCTTGGTGGAAGGAATGGACATATTGTAATGGTTTATTAGGAACAGAGAATGTTACTTGGAATGAAGTGTTTCAAATATATATAAAGAAACCAAATTATATACTTTTAAAATGCCTGGCTTGTTTTGAGGATATCTCTATTATCCGTAAATATTTAGGGTTAATAGCGTCAAAACATTATGATAAAAAAATAAAAGAATGACCGAATTTACATTTTTCATTCTATCGTTGCAAGACATGCGAAAAATGATACAACACTTGATTATATATTAGAAAATTTTGATAACGTGAAACCAAGATAAAAATATGTTTTTTTATGAAGATATAAATGTTTGTATATATTCATAAAAATTCGTATATACTTATATGTATACCAATAATTAATCGGTTCTTTTGTTTTTACAGAAATATAAGTATGACTGTAGCATTAACAGATATCATTAATCATGTATACTCTAATTTTTCATTGGATAAGGTAAATTATATAATTATATTATTCAATATTTATTACTAACGTAGTTTACTAAATATAGTAAAATTTATTATAAACCTATTTTTCCATACAAATCTAATAGATTCAAGTATTTATCCTGATATGACATTAATTTTAAAATTTGTTTTACATACACAAACGTCTAGTTTGTTGAGTCAATTTTGTGCTCCATTTATCATTTCTTGATCTGAAATAAAATATTTTCCTGACAAAAATGTTTTGATTTCCTAAATAAGTAAGAATTAAAAAATTAAAGGTCAGGATTATGAAACCCGCGAAAAACGATCTAATATGAATCTAACTAAAATCATATTAAATCATATTTAATTTGGGTAAAATTCAAATTAAATCCAGATTTTATATTAAAATTATATTTGTTTAAATACAGTTTTAATTTGCACTTATTAAAATCAGTTATGTAGATTAAATATAATCCACAATAAAATAGGGTTTTAATTAAAATTTAATTAGATCACTTATGTGGATCATATAACACTTCGAATCAAATATGGTTTTAATTTGTATTTAATAAGATAACTTATGTGGATTATATATG